GCCCGCCGCAGGGAGCGGGGAAGCCCGAAGCCTCTGTGAGGCGTTTGAAGCAGCGCGGAGGGCCAAGCTGCGTTACCTGCTGTTCCACTATTACTGCTTCTAATTCTTTTTTTTGTTGTTGGCCTTGTATGGGTAAGGCAGGGATCCAGAGTGCTTTCCTGTGGGAAGTCGCAGCTGGCGTGTTTGGTAATAGCGCAGATTTTGTTAGCGCCTTCAGAAGGCCTGTGGCTGGCGCAGATCGTGCCTGCCAAGCGCTCCCACGCCGTTCGAGAGCCTCACGCAGCTGTCGTTAGTTATCTTGGGGTTTCCTGACCAAAACCCTGGCTTGGCTCCCCAGCCCCGGGCCTTGCTGCTGCTGACAGAGGAAGGTGTCTCTCCTGCAAAACTCGCGGTCCTGCGTCTTGCCTCTTGCGCTGCGCTGCAGATGCTCAAGTGAGCCAGCTCGCAGGGTGCTGGGTGACTAGCTCAGGTCGTTCAACCTCAAGAACAGCGTGCTAGGATTGTAACGCCGTGAGGAGCTGGTGCTTGGTAAGGTAGCCTGTACGCGAAGAAGGATTGTACAGCTCTTGACGTGCTTTAACACGCGCAGCACGGGCCCCCCTAGGTAGTAATGCCCAAAGAGACTGATGGCTGGGCTTATTTCATATCTGTTTGGCAAACAGGGCAGAGAGAGATAGAGTCATCGCACCGCTTGCAGGACTATGGAATCCCGCTTGTTCTGTTCGTGCCTGCTCTTTTCCTACTTCTTCATGTTTCTGTGAGGTTTATGTTGTAATTTGCTGAACATGAAATACCTCTTTCCTCTTCTGCACCTTTGAGTCTCTGGCATGCCTCATCTAGATGCTTGTCGTGACGGGGATATATGTAGATGTGTACACACACACACACACACACAAATACAGGCTTGATTTGGTCTGTGTCCACTGATTCCTGTGACTTTAAGCCTCCTGCATGAGGTGTCACCAGTGCTTTCCAACGGGGAAAGGTCAGACCAAGCTTATGTACCTGCTACGATAAGGGCATAGGTTAGGGAAAATCAGAGACAGTGTGAGTTGGTTTCTGCTCTGTCAAAGTGAGAAATAATTCAAGAGACTTTAAAGGTAGTACAGGAAGGAGATAGGATGAGAGAACCATCTGTCAAAAACAGCAAGAAGTTTGTCTGAAGGTGAGTGACCTCTGAGAATTGTGTGAACTTGAAAGTTAAAGGAGATTATAATGCTCTGGTAGTTAGGGACAGCTGTTAAACCTTTCCCTGATGTGGGAGCGTTCTTCTGCTGGAGCAAGTCAGCCTGTGCGAGTAGGTTGATCTACTTAGGAGTAGTTTTGTGGAGAAACTCTTCATCCTCTGCTTAAGTACTGTGATTGAAAACGTTGTGCTTGATAAGAAATTCATGTTTTTCAAGTATGACTAGAGTAAGAAGATTTGTTTTCTACTCTTTAGTGGCAACATTTACTGCAAGACTTTGTATCCAAACCAGCAGCCCTTTTCTGACATGAAACAAGGAAGCTGGAGCAGTTACAAAAAATTTTAAAAAAACGTAAATTACATGCAGTAGTAGGGCTGTAGGGATGTTCCAAATAAGGTGTAGCATGTAGTGTTTATCTTCATCTTTAATTTCTAAATGCTGTTTGTTGGAATTCAGCAATGAATGCATCAGGATAAACATCACTGCGGTGTTCTCCCCACCTTTGGAGCGAGAATTGTAGTCCCTGATTCATCCTTAGAGAAGGGAAGCTTGCCAAGTGAAACACGCATATCAAATAAGCAAGTAATCACTCCTTTTAGATAGGTCTATGCTGGTGTAGCGTTACTGCTTTTTTTTTCCTGAAACACCTACATTACTTGTTATTCTCCTTCATGTAGCAGAAAGAGCTATTAATGGACGAAAACCTCTGGGTTTTGCACCTGTTGGAAGTCCTTATCGCATTTAATTTCCTGTTAATTTATACTTTTAGGTGAGTGCATTTTAAGAGGAAAACTCGATAATTTCTGCAATAATCATAAATCATGGAGCAACTTATTCTAGCTAACAGCTAAAGAACTGTTATATTTTAAACAGTTAATGTGCTCAGGCCCTTTGACACAGTTCTCTCAGCAGATGTTCGCGCTCTGTGGCCGATATAATGGATTCCTCTGAAGAAGGATTTTTGCTATTCAAACCAGGCAGACGTAAACCTCTGAAACAATATCGTCACATGTTTTTCTTTTCTCTCTAGGTCTCACTTGCTGCAGAATACTGATATGCTAGCCTGAGGAGAAATGCCTCTGTGGAACTGTTAATAATTAGCGCTTTGCATCGGACAAAGTGGGCGCCCCCCCCCCCCCCCCCCCCGCAGCAATGCCTACTTCTTATCTTAATATCTTAGTGTGCTTTCTGACAAATCTGGAATCTACAACAGGTTTCATTTCTTTTTATGTGCTGACGCCTCCTAATACGGAGGTCAGTCACACAGAATCAAAATGAGATCATCTACCAGTTTTTAAAGGTGACACTTCTTAAAGATAAGAAGTGATGCTTATTTGTTTTCACTACTCTGTAGCTGTAACTATTTTTAATCTGCAACCTGGTTGTTTATCCACTTAGAGAGCTGACCTTTATTAGTGTATTAATGCGTTGGGATACGTATATATTCCTAAAACTATCAATTTTAAAATGCATATGTATTTTATAATAAATGTCAGAAAACATAGTACCTGAGGGACTTTGAGAGTAATCTTATGAGGGACCAGGATTTCCTTAAACAGATAAATTTTTTTTATAGTGTACTAATTGATCTCTTAATGTTTGGAACGATCTGATTAAAAATATTCCAAGAATTGCCATATTGTTAGTAGGGGAAATTCTAAAGCCTGCAAGCTGGGAAATGAAAGGCTATAATTCACTTTTTCATGTGCTGTTTTAATTGCGTTCTATTTCAAATCTTACGCTCCTTTTGAAAGTATAGAGTATAACATTTGAAATAACTTGCCTGGATTTCTTGCTAGTATTGTTCTCAGCGGCACATGCACCTGTAACAAATACATTGTTTTTGAAATGAGGATGAGTAACATAATGCAGCAACTAATTTCTTATCCGTTTTCCGTTCTCCTCTCTAGTTACCTATCTTTGATGAAGTCAGTCATTCTACAAAATAAATTAATTGAGTGCATTCCCTTTTTCAAGTCTTCCTAGCAGCTTTTAGAAGAATGTCTGTGTACCAAATGTTGTTTAATTTGGAAAATTCTGGTCTATTGTAGATAAATGCAGAAGAAGGAATCCTGCATGCTGCTGGAAATGGTGTACCTCCAAAAACAAAGGATTACTGCATAATTTACAATTCAAATTGGACAACTCTTCCAGATAGCCTCAACAATGCTGTAAGTGGCTTATAGTCATACTTCCTAAGAAAACTAAAATGCAATGTGAATGTGGATCAGCTGTAATATTTAGCTTTTGGGGCTTTCCTTCCCTCCACCCCAGAGGATCTCCATGTTAAACACTTCTGTACTTCAGAAAAGTCAGATTCTGAAGTTTGTAAACATGGTGTTCTCTCTGTTTAGAAGCCAGTTTTAAATACGTCTATATGTTCATCTGATATTGTTGGTTTTTTTTTTCTGTATCTCAAGTGTCATCAGTATGTCCAAGTTAGTTTAGATCTGGGAGTATAACTTTTGTTTATTTGTTTACAAAAATGCTGTAAATTTGTGAAACAAATTGCTTATGCTGGTATAGTATACTTATATTGGTTCATCGGTTTCATTCCCTGTTTAAGTGCCTTGAAAACGTGGGGGAATAGATTATCTGGAGCGTGTCATCATGCCATATTCTTTGAGTGTTTTTCTGCTTCACGTCCTAGTTTGGCTCAAGGAAACAAATCTTTTTTTCTTTAGGCACTGTTCATGCAAACAGAAAATATTTTGTGCTTGAAAGCGATCAAGGCAGTATTTTTCCCCCGTTCCCTCCTGTCACTTGTAAACAGGTTAAATTCATACACAATGGAGCTACGATCATTCTCTGCTCATACATCTTTAGCGTGCTATATTGGCCACTGAGATGTCTTGACTAACTAAAGAAAATTGACAGTGATTTAAAAAATCACTGAATTTGAACTTTAAGATATGGATAGAAATGTTGTTTAAACAAATACTACTTTGTCAAATTGACATATTGTTCTTGAACAAGGTGTTGCACTTCCGAACTCTGGTTTTATAGCATCTGGGTCAGTGGGGGTGTTTTTGGCTTTTGAAGTCTGAAAATGTCACACAGTGTACACTGGGATTCTCCAGAACAACAGACAATGATTTTCCTATATGCCAATTTCTCATGTATAAATTACAGCCGTGTCTGTGAAACTGCATTTAGCAACAGCCAGATATTTCAGCTATAGGCTGTTGTAAAAGTCCCTCAGTACCGCAGGCTGCGGTAGCTGGTACTCTGGTTTCGTGTTTCTGAATCACTTCTTTCTGCTAGACCTCTTAATTGAAAAGCTCAAATTAGGGAGTATATTCGTCTAGTGTTCTAGCTTAGTTTGCGGTATCATTTTTCCTCCTTTTTCATGTCCCTTTTCTCTGTAGACTTTCAGGATTCTGGAAAACCTGACTTCTATGGTACTCTGCAATTCTTCTGAAGCTCCTTCTGGCTTACTGAAGGACAAAGCAGTTGTAGTGATGAGAGGAAACTGCACTTTTCTGGAGAAAGCATTAATTGCTGAAAGACTGGGTGCTAAAATGCTGTTGATTGCCAGTAAACCTGGGCTAGTAAGTTACAACATGTGATTTTCTTCTGCAATGAAATGGTGTCTTATCTATTTGGCCCAATGCAATGTTGTGCAGAGATAGCTGAGAGAGGTCCCATGAATGTGTGGGATTCCAGCGCGAGTTGTTAACCTTCCTGACAGGGCGCAGTGCTAGCGCGACTGCTGTCCTTGCAACCAAAGGGTCATTCATAGTTAGCTCTGTGCAACCCTGTTATATCATCTAAAACAATCTACAGCTGAATTGCATTTTTAACCTGTTGCTTGTATCTTTATTCACGTTCCTGAATGCAAATGCTTATCTTTATTATTCCTTAATTCTAGTGTATTCTGAACTCCCTGTTATCTTAGATGATATTTTGTTTTAAACACAATGTGCAACAAAAAGCAGGAAATTATCATCCAGAATTGGAAATAAAAAAGAAAAAGGCCTTTTGAAGTATCTTTACAGATATTTCTGTTGCTTTTTTTGTTCTCTATTACAGCTGAAAAATATACGTACAATTATTTTCAGTTGCAGAATAGATTTCTGTGATTATAATTAAGTTATGTTTTTTTAAAAAAGCTTTGGAAATAAAAATTGAGTCTTGATTGTCTCTTATAATGCTACAATAGTATTAGACCTTTATGAATTCAGAAGTGTGTTGGTAGTATTGCCTGTTTTACCTGAAGTACTTCTTTCTTCAATAACATTTTGCAAAAGGCAATGAACTGCTCTTTTTTTTTTTCCTTCCTACAAATACATTGAAATTTAAAGGATAATTTACTTGGGCCTCTGCTTGGCATATTAGTTGGACGTACTTATCACTGATGCTTTCTCTTCTAGTCTCCTCTCACAGATAACAAGACTGAGTTTAAAGATGTGACTCTTCCAATTGCTCTTATAAGATATAATGATATAATGGATATGCAGCTGGTAAGTAACATAATTTCAGCATATTATGGTTCATGTAAACTTAAAATTATTTTATTCATTTGTTCAAAAACTTAAGTCAGACATGGATGTTTCTTTGATGACTTGAATGTGCATAGACACTGTTTTCAGTTTCACAGATGAAGATGGATGTTAAATCATGGAAATGCTAGTTTTCCGTCCTCAAGTTAATTTGAGAGAATGTTTAATTAGAACACTAAGAATGTGAAAAGTAATACCCCACTGTAGGGAGGGTCGTCTTCGAAGTCCTACTGCTAAACAAGATAAGCAGCCTTCCAGTAGATTTGTGTACAGTTGTGGATGCCTGACATGTGTAGAGAGCTATAGCCTGAGAGGTCTATTCCGTTAGCACAGAAGCTAAAACAGTTAAGCTTTTATCTGGTGGCGTGACGTCTTGCAGCCAAGGAGCACCTTAGCAGGTTGGATGTTGAGGAAAGTGTGAGGGTTTTTTTTTTTCCTTTGCAGGTTGATAGACTCTTTTTCCATAGCTTGACAGCACAGAGAAGTAGGGCAGTATAGTTTGAGTTTCTACTAATGAGTTTATGGTGAGATACCAAGCACGTATCTTTAAAATGTGGCCGTCGTGGTATTTCCTATACTTTTAGGCAAGGAATTTTGGAGATGTTTTGTTTTGTTTTGTCCTGACTTCTAATAATAAGGTACAGAATGTTGCAGAGGGCTTGAACAAGAAAAGATACTGTTTACTTTGTTTTGAATTAGTCTTAAATAAGGGCTAACTTTTGCTAGGCAGCAGTTGCACCACGCATGTTTTCATATGAATAGCAGAGACTGGTACCAATCTGCATAGTCTTAGCTCCTTAGATTGAATTTGCAAGCTTTTCACCATTTCTGCTCTTAATCCTCAGAGCTGCCGTGGGAAGTTGTCTTAGGTAAGTATGTGAACTAAAACTAGATATACAGGATTTGGATTGTTTTGTATAAGTTTGTCCACCCACTAAAGATTAGTTCCTGTAAAGCACTGACATGACTTAAGGTTTATGATGACTTCCGTCACTTTGCCACAGTCATTGAGGAATACTGCATTTTGGTCCAGATTGTCATCTGTAGTCTTAAAATTTGTTCCTTCAAGCAAGACAGGTGTCGTTTGCCTAGCTGAGTGTTTTGGAGATATTCAGTACCAATAGGAGGAAGAAAAACAGGGCAAGGTTAGATCCCTGTTTTGTTCTGAATCCTCTCTGCACCAGTTTGTTGCCTAGTATTGTTTGTGTGGTGTCATGTGGAATCACATCTGTATAGCTATAAAAATCAGTTGAAGAAACTTTTCTAGTAGATTAGTGTGCCGGATGATGTCTCGTACTGCTGTTGAGTCAAGAAATTCAGTTCTGTCTTAAAATGGAAGCTGCTTTCATAAGTCTTAAGAAACAAAGCCTAGGCTACAAGTGATCCTTTCCTGGTTCTGATGTAGTTTTTGCCAAAGCCTTCTGTCATGTCACTGGCAGTTGTTTTGAATGACAGATGCTGCTTAGAAGCTGGCAGCCGTTGTACTCTTCCTACTGCACAGTTGTATTTCAGTTTTAACTCTTTTTCAAGGCCTCCAGCTTTCTCTCCCTTTAATTAAGAGAGAGAGATGGCACCAATCTAGAGGGAGCTAGTTTATATAAGCACTTTTTGTACTCGTTCTTATTAGACTTCATCTCTGTTGGCTTTTACCACTTGAATCAGATGTATGGTGAGTCTTGGTAGAAATAGTAGACTGTTGCAAGCTTTCTACTAAGTGGCCAGCTCTCTTGCTGGGTTGTTGTTATCTGATGTGATGTATTTTATTCTAGTGCTTCCTGTGATGGAAATTGAGACTTAGCAAGTTCTTAGCAAAGAGCAGTACAGTAAGGAAACAATCCATATAGATTCTAACGTGAATTCTACTTCATAAAAATGTTTGGAACTCATAAGAAAAACTCGATTAAGACATGCTGGAATTGAATAATAAAAATACATAAGCTATTAGGTTAGTCGGGCTTTTTTGTTTTCTGTTTTGTTTTTGTACACATAGGATGCTGTAATTGGAATAGGATTTTTTGTTTTGCTTTTATCTAAAATTATTTTTCACTTCAAGCAACTATAATGCTTCACTAGCATTTGATTTTCTTTCCTCTATTTTAAAAATTTGATTATTTGGACTTCCATAACTAACCTAAAGCAAAGGAATGATTCTGACTTCTTTAGGCTGCGCTAAGGTTAATATCTGTAACCATCTAATTCAGATGCTGCAATGAATCAGCTTTCTTCACATATGGCCAGTGTATTCCACTGACTACTCAACTTCCCATTCAGTCTCTCCACTGCCAGTTTGATCTTCCTCTAGCCAAACTTGCCTGACATTCATCGCTGCTTTTGCTTTTATCCCACATGCAGGCTGTTAACAAATCTGTTCTTCTGCCACATCTCTGAAGTCTGCTTTCACTACAGGATTGCTTTAGATGCTCTGACTGACTTTGACTACAACAGCAAACCTTTCTCCCCTCTTCCATTAAAATTATCATCCTTTCTTTGTTTCTTGAATCTCGTCTTTCAAGTTAAAGCATTTTGGTTTTGCTTTCAAGATTTTTGTACAATCAGTGATATCTCTATCTTCCCTCCTATCTTTTTCAGTGTCCTTTAGATGCTTGTTTCTTGCTGTGATCTTAAGCTTTCACGTAACTTAAATATTTTCCTCTTGTTTTGAATCCGTCTCAAATCATGTTGATGAAAAGCTGTTATTTAATGACTTCTGCTACCTCGAATTTTCACCATGTCCTGAGAGGATACCTGTCTGAAGCATCTTGCCTGCATCTGAGCTGGGAGTTTCTTGGTTTCAAGAGCTAGAGGCAGACTTTCACTGATGTATCTCAGTGGACCTTGGAGTCTGTGTACTTCAAGTTAACTTGCCTCCAGATCAACTCTCCTGCAGTGCAGAAGTTTTTGACAGCACTTGATATATTTAGGGGATGAAAAGTGTTTGGGCCAGAGGCACAAGTTCTCAGAAGCGTTGAAAGATTACAAAGAAACACCATTTTGCCTTGTGGTATCCGTATGTTCCCATAGCAGTAGTAGTAAGGCTGCTTTCAAACCTGAGCATCCTGGAAAGTGGCCTGGAAAGCGTACCTTGCGCAGTAAGCTGAAAATTTGCTCTCAGCATTGTGTAAGTTAAAAGCAGGAAATTGCGACGTTCATCATGGTGAAAATAAGCAAAATAATTTCCTTCTTGTCCTTATGAACTGACTCGTTCATTATTTTTCAGACTCTTGGAAATGAAATTAATGTGACTCTCTATTCACCACCTTTGCCAGAGTTTGACTGCAGTATGGTTGTCATCTTCGTAATTGCTGTATTTACTGTGGCGCTAGGAGGCTATTGGAGTGGAGTATCAGAACTGTAAGTTCGTTCGAGATGTAAAATTCTATAAACGCTATGGCTATGATCAGCGAGGAATGATATTACTTTAGAATGCTAGTTTATTGCGCCTAGATCCTCTCATTCTTTATCTGCTTTGCCATGAGCTGCTTGATCAACTTCAGTTAAATAATTCTGTGGGTCTGGGCATAAACCAATAAGAGTTGGGTATTTGTTTTAATCATTGGTAACTAATATAATAATCTCTGTGGCTCAGAAGTTTTTAAGTTATTAAGCTTCAACTTGTAATATAGGGATGATGATATTTCTCTTCCTTGCAACACATACAGTACAATACACATTAGGACCCTCTGAAAGTGAATTTCTTAAATTAGATGCAAGGCTTTTCCTATGTAACCTTTGAAAAAATCATGATTTTTGTAACATATCCTGCATAAGGTTTTCTGGCTGAAATCATAATTTTTTGATTTGATTAATCTAGTAGTGTTTCTGGACTAGAAGAGTCTGAAGATCAGTTTGACAGCCATGCAAGGCAACATAAAAGAATGTATATTCTTTCCTCTGTACCTCCCAGTAGTCTTTGAGGAACCTTATATAGGAGATCTTACGAGTCCGTGGGGGATGATGCAGCTTTTGGGATGAGGAGTCAGTTAATATTTTGACAAATTGCCAAATACCCTTTAATCAGCGTTGTAATACTCCAATATCCATGACAGAGTGTAGGTATTTTAATGACAACATTTTAAAAATCAAGTAGGTTGCAATATGAAGCCTTAAAGCAATACCAGCAGCTGCCTTCCACCAGTCCTGACTATAGCTTCACCATGCCAGGCCCAGCACAGGTTTGGGAACGGTACCTACGCAGTTGTATATACTGCCTGCACTGGCAAGGATCTGTACAGCTGTTTGGCGTCAGCTGGCTGTTTAGGATGTCCCTGCCCCACATTCCTGGAACTAGGAGCACTGGGGAATGCAGTGCAGTTGTGTCTGGGTGGCCCCAGACAGTTAAAGTCCAACCAGGCTTATCTGCCTCAGTTCGGTGCGTTACCTGGGGGACTGAAGCAGCAGAGTCGGAGCAATAGCGGCTCTGGAGCTAAGCAGGGGCAAGGAGGCAGCAGCAGTCCCTGCACAGGGAAAAGAGAGGAGAGGAAGTGGAGGAGGTAGTGAACGTAGTGAAGTGAAACATACTGGACGCCCAGAACTGTTTTCATCTGGGGTTAAGCTGGAGATAAGTGATCTTTCGGAATACGGCATATTATTCTTCATCGCTTCTTGGATGTCTGTGTACCTCGAATGGGCCAATGTGCTGTATTACCTAGGTAGGGCTTCTTGTTCTCTGTGCTGTTCTAGTGCTCTGTTTCTCCAGAACAACAGGGAATGTGGATCATGTGTGATAACAACAGGCTTCCTCTTTCCCACTAGTTGTTATGCAAATCTTCCTGATGTTTTTAGAAGAGATTAAAGAAATAGAAAGGTGTGTATGGTGGGGGGGAGGGGGGAGTTTTGAAAGGTCGGATCTGATTATCCTGCTTCTTTACCCTACAGTGCTGTAGGGTGTGGCTGCATTGACTGTTAAAATAACAAAATACAGTGCTGTCTCCCATACTGGAAACAAAAAATCTAGATGTAATTACTTTAAACTTGTTAGAAATGTGCTTTCATAAATGTAGGGTGAGCTTTTTTTTTTTTTTTTTTTAAAGCTGCTTATTCAAAGCATGTCCTCTAAAAAGGTGATTCATCTAACAAAGTGTCTTGCTCCTGTGGGCTTTTTCTTTTGAAGGTGGTTGTTTCAGTGCTGAATTCAGCATTTTGTAGGTAGGTCCTGGGATTCGTCAGGAACATGCTATCTGATGGGCAAGTTTTGCGAGTGTCTGTACTAAAGAGTAGTAGATCTGTCTGCTCAAAGAGCAGAGTAAAACACAACAATTTCAATTTCCTCATTTTGTGTGGTGAGGCGTAAATATGGAGTATGCACACCCAGAAAACAAAAGAATTCTTACTCCCAGTGAAAATCTCTATGCTCCTGTCCCCCATTCCTTTGCTCTTTAATTATGGGGCATAAGTGTAAAAGCACCGGTAGTTTGCAAGTTTCCTTCTGCTAATGCTAATGTCTTTTGAAGGCACTTAATGAAACGTTTATAGTAGAGATTTCAAAGCAGTGTCTAATATAGGTTATGATTTTGACTTATTGCAGGCGTATTTATCTGACTGCATTTAGCCTAAGAAATTCTGAAGTGGGAGGTGATGCACTGATACTGCTGAGGGCATGCCTCCTGAAAAGGAGGCTAAGGGTTTTGATATCAGACTGTTTTTCCTCACGCTGATTGGGGTTTTGGCTGGGGTTGCTTCTTAGGAAGTCGATGATTCCGTTATCCTTGGAAGGAAGGGCTCTCAAGAATCATTTCCTTGTGATCTATGCTAGGTTAGGAGAGCACATCTCCATTAAAATCGAGAGAAACTCAAAAAATCAGCACACCATTTCTCTGAAATTTTTGAAGCCTAATAATAATAATAGGAAGGTTTAAACTGAAATGTTGTTGTATGCTTTATAACAAGCAGTTCTGATCATAGTAAAACTTTCAGAATCCGTCATCTAAGATAAATGTATATGTGGCTTTCTTAAAACAGCGAGAATTTGAAAGCTATGGCAAGTCCTGGACAGAGAGAAACAAGACGAAAGAAGGAGGAAAATGTTACTTTCACCCCTCTAACGGTCATCTTGTTTGTTGTCATCTGTTGTGTCATGCTAGTCTTGCTTTATTTTTTCTACAAATGGCTAGGTAAGAAGCAATGGATCATCTCACTTGGTTTATATTTTTATGCCTAATTTCATTAGGTGTTTAAGTCTGAAAAACTAGATTTCTAAACTAAAATTAATGCACTTTTTTTAAACTGCTCTCTTCTCATACGAGGGAGTTGAAGGCTGAAGAGATCTAGTTGCTCTTTAAAAAAGAGGGGAGCTTCTCTTATGAAGGCTGCCTTGACGGTGCTTATTCTGATTGAAGTAATGTGGAGGAGAGGTAACTAGCAACCAGTAATAAAGTATATGATGTATGTTGACATTGCTGGGAGGGTTGCAATGCTAGCTTAATAGTATTTAGAGTGAAAGTCTTGTTAGCTCTTGTTAAATTGACCTTGAGTTTGTGGTTGCAGTGCCCTACTTAAAGTATTAGGATATATGGCAGTACCATAATGAAATAAACGCAGGCATACTAGCAGTGACATAAGTTCTTCTTCAGTGATGCAAGACCAGTGAAATGTGGTTTCCAAACTGCTGATGGATTTTTCCTGCCCTCAGATCGAGCAACCAGAAAACAGACATTGTTTTAAATTATGATCTTTAGTCAGAACAATGTTACTTCCGTTCAGAAAGCTTATTATCTTCACTCTTTTCATAGAACTTGTTAAAAGTTATCCCCCTGCCTCTACAAAAGAAACGTCACTGTGGTGATTTTGTTTAACTTTGGTTACCTAAACTATTGGCAATGCTGTCTTTGCTAAACTTATCCCATTTAAAGACTGATGAATTATTTAATTTGATCAAAAGGTTTAGGCCTCAAATTTCCTTGTGTCTGCTTGCTCTGAGATGAGTTTGAGGTGAGTTTCGGGAAGAAGTGAAGAAAGAGACCACTTAAAGGAAAAGTGAAAAGGGGAGGGCAAGATGTAATGAATTAAATAGGAAGAGGAAAAATGTGAATAATACAAAGAATGTATGTAATAGCTTTTTATTAAGAAGCCCAGTTCTGTGCACTTTGGAGCAGGTATGTGACATTTTTTGGAGGTAAGGAAGCTGTTACATGGTATAATATGCTATGCCCAGGGAAAATTCTGTAGCTATTTAAAAAAAAAAGAAAGGGGGTGGGTATTGATAAGTTGCTACTAGAGTGTGAGAATGCAAGTCTTAATTCCTTAGTTGGAGTTAGTTCCAACTAGCCAATAAGCTAAAAATATTTCCCTTACTGCCTCATGAGTGGATGAAGTGACTACAGGGAAAATTTGAAGTGAGAAGCATTATCAGAAATTGAGAAAACTGGTAGTCATAGAATAGCGCTTCTGGTTTAGCCATCATCAAAGAAAACCATGTGAAAGTGGTATCTGATCTCTGACCTACTTTTCAAAGAAAGGAGAAGAAAAAAGTAAAATATGTGTGGTTTGGGTGTTTTTTTTTTTTTTTTCCATTCAGAAACTTCAAAATGCAAGTCTTTGCTTGGTGAGGGCTCTCGTGTCATGGCACAGGCCTTTCAGTTTTCAATGTTTTCTGTCATCTTTTGATGACAGTGTATTGAACAGTACTATAACTGATAACAGCTTATATAAAACATACATCCTTGTGTTTGATTCCTGCTTGCTACATTTTTTTTCTATTGTATTTTGTCACTGATTCCCATCTTCAATTTGTTTTATCTAGTGTATGTTATAATATCAGTCTTTTGCTTGGCATCTGCAATGAGTCTATACAACTGTCTTGCTGCATTAATTGGAGAAATACCGTTTGGGCAATGCAGGTATTGTACACCTTTTAATTCTTATAACTCTAAGGTTTTTTTGAGGAGGGTATTTTCTGGTTGCCACTCAAGGTAACGTGAAAATGTTAGTACATTTGACATATGATCTCATGTCTGGCTTAGTGTGTGGGATTGTTACAAGAATAATTATGAGCTCCTTTAATAGATATTTAAGATATCCATAGGAAAATCAACAATTAAAGAGAGTGGTGTGGGATAATGCAGACTTGCTGCATTATCTTCATTTGAAAGCGTTATTAACTGTTTAGAATAGCCGAGCTTGAAAGGCTCTGCTCGGCTATCTGAGTTTGGGTTTGCAAAATCCTGATTGCCTGTAGTGTGTGCTCGCTTCCTTTTCTAAGGAGCCCTGACATAAGAGAGGGGATCCTGCAAATACCTTTTTTTCCTCAACAGTGGAAACTTAAATAGTTTCCACTTCTCACTGGACTGTTTTGAGAAAGTAATATACTGTAGGCAATAGTTCTTTTTTCCTCATGTTAATCTATACTGTAGCTGTGACAGGCCAAGGTTTTGTTTTTCTTTCAGTCAAATGCAACATGTTACTCATGCTCTGTGTTAGAAGTTAGTGATTACAGTCTTAAGTCAAGCACTGTGTTATCTTTGTACAAATAGCCCTGTGTTATTATTGTGACTTAAATATTCTGCAAGTATTAGTGGTGGGTATGGGAATGCCTCTATTCTTCTTCTTTGTATTTTCACTTAAAAAAAAAAAAACAACCAAACAACAATAGCATTGATACAACAAATGCTTCTTTTTCCCAAAAGAACAATGTTTGTAAAGCTTGGAAGCCTACGGCTATGTTTGCGCATTGCCTAATAGAGGACATTATGTGCCTGATCACCTGGCCCTACAAAGGTAGATATCAGGTAGAAAAATCATCAGGTTTTGGGTAAGCTGCAGGACGGAGTACGTACTTCTGTCAGTTAATGTCTGTTCAAGAACTGTCCCAGGAATTGAGTGGACAGTGGAAACATCTCTTGGTTCACAGTTTTGCAGTGCATATTTATTCCATTTTAATCTCGCATTAGGTGTCCTAAAACCAAATTTTCCCTCCCCCCCACCTCCATCCCTTTCTGGAGTCATGACATGACAGTCCTTCGCTGGCATAGTTCTGTTGGCATAATTGTTACATAGCAGAGATGGATTAATTAAATTCATCTGCTTGCCTTCTTCTCTGGATGTATTTACTAAAATGAGGATTGGCCATGGAAGCCCAACTTGGCCTACTTTCTGTGGGCTTTTTTAATGTAGCCTAGAGAAGGTTTGATACTGCAGTTGCAAGAATAACGCCACCTGAGTCCTGATCAGGCTGAGAAAACCTTGTCAGCTTAAAGACCTGTGATGGCACAACTATGTGTTTTGGCTGTTCCAGGCTTCCTGTTTAACTTAATGCTTATCTTCTAGGATTGCATGTTGCAACAAAAATATAGAAGTGAGGCTTATTTTTCTTGCTGGATTCTGCATAGCAGCAGCTGTTGTCTGGGCAGTGTTTCGAAATGAAGATAGGTAAGTGATGCATTCCTACTTGAAAGGGTAATATGAATAATTCTCATTAACAAACTTCCCATCGTGCAACTAACTCTAGAATATGGCATCCTTCTAAACGCCACTGCCTATTTAAAAGGGCATAAAAATATTTATGAAGCTTAACAGTCATGGGAATAACAGAGAACAAAGCTATACAAATGAACTGTATGGTTATTTGGAGTTACAAAAAAATCATGAAGATGAGGAGGAACTCGATTGCTAACGATGACGATAGAGCGGAGGAAAAGTGCAAAAATAGAAATGTAAGCATAGGACCATAAATAAACAATATTATAATACAATCCTAAGTAGCATCTTGAGCCAGACTTTTTAAGCAGGTCTTCCAATCAACAATGTAAGTTGTTAAGCAAGTGAGCAATCATACAAGTGAATAAATAGCAGGGCCCTGTTACTGCCTCTGTTCAACTCATTTTCTCTGTAGCAAGTTAATAAGGAACGCTTACCAATTTGTGATCACAGGCTAGTGTAAACTATTGTGAAATGAGAATCATTGTGTTTTCAGTAGTGACACTTCCAAAGAACTAATTCCATGTTTTCCAAAACATTCTGCGGTTTTGCTATTTCCAGTAACAGCCAAAATTGCTACTGTCTTTAGATTTTTAGCAGTGAGCTTAAACAATGTGTGAAAACTTGTTCTTATTTTCAGGTGGGCTTGGATTTTGCAAGATATTTTGGGAGTTGCTTTCTGCCTAAACTTTATTAAAACGTTGAAGATGCCTAACTTTAAGGTACTGTAAGTTGCTCTGCTTAGTAAAGCATTGTAATGACATGCAAATATATATGTGCAGTCCCAGGAAGTAAGTTTTCAACAGGTAAGAAATAATTAAAAATGGTAAAGGGTTTTAAATATTGTAGTTATTAGAAAAAAGAAAAAATCCTGTTCTAAATGTTATGCTGGAATAAAGGCATTATTTTTAAAATTGTGATACAGTAGTAGTACTGGAATCTAACTATGCAGTCCTTGAAAACTTGTGATAATATTTTCTTTTTTTTTTATTTTTTTCGCTAGTCCTGTGTGATACTTCTAGGCCTTCTCCTTTTATATGATGTGTTTTTTGTCTTCATAACACCGTTTATCACGAAGGTATGTCTGTGGGTTTTTTAAGAGAAAAAGTTCTCTGGTCACAACAGCGCTATTCCTGTCAAACAGACTAGTGTCTTCAGTATTCTCGATGCATATATGCTGACTTCCTTCCACCCTGCCCCCTTGACAGCAGTGACCTAAATTTTCATTTTGCGTGTGCTGTAGAGCATAATGCATGTGCAGGAGCCATAAACTGTTATATGGCTAACTCTACAGCAATCATATGGCCAGCAGTAAACTGTCCTAGATTATGTGACAGGATGATGATGAAAAATTATTGTCTTCCAGTTTCCCAGAAGCTTAGGTCAGAATGTGCTGTAGTACTTTCTGCAGTGCTGAGCTGCAGTGTACTATGAACTGTATGCAGGTGTATCTTCTTTTCTTTCAAAGCAGAAAGCTCATGGCAGAAAAGGCTGACACATGTTTAGTTAAACTTTTGGCTACACCTGCTGTGGGTTTTTGTTGTGGGGGAGGGGGGGTTGACACTCATTTTCAGCTGGACCACATGTTTTTAATTAAAAAAATATATATATCATTCCTTCTTAGAGTCAGGATTTTATCCAATCCTGAATTGTAAGATGAGGTACAAGCAGTGTTTCTGTATGAATGTTTTGGTATATTAAACCACTAACTTTTTGAAATAACCTTAATTTCAGAATGGGGCAAGTATAATGGTTGAAGTTGCAGCTGGTCCTTTTGGAAATAGTGAAAAGGTATGAGTAGTTGTTTTATTATGTACAGCATACAAATACTGACATTTTATAGCTAATTCGATTAGCAAATAGTGTGCTTTTTTCAGCATAACCTTCTCACAAAATATAGCCAGCTTTTGCTATTTTCTTTTAAGTATTAAATACTTGTTGACTTGGGTTTGATCCTAGAATGATGGAAACTTGGTGGAAGTCCCTACTGAACGCTCAGCTCCCCATGAGAAAGTAAGGATTGTATTTCAGATACTGGATTTTTAAATCTGAAAAATTTTTACCTCTGAAAAGACTATTCTTTTGGGGAAAACCTGACTGTCCAAATCTTTCTTCAGGGCCTGAATATCATTCATTCAGAGTCAATACTCTGCAGTTAGGATAATAATACAGACTTGTTATTCTCATTATGTGGCTAAATGTCGTCTTAACTTCTTTTGGTGTGTGCATATTATTTGTAGATCTGAAATTTCAATTTACCTATTGCCTTTAGTTTTATCCACTCTGGTTTCTGGTTTTTACTTTAGGTTTTTACTATTTTGAAAATCTACATTAATGATAAATTAAAACTATATTAGAACTGTTTCTTCGTTTAAAAAAAAAAAAAAAAAAAAGGAGGACACTTTAGATTAGATTTATGTGGGCTTCTAAAATACTGTTTTACAGTTACCTGTGGTTATTAGAGTGCCTAGACTTGAATACTCTGCATCAACACTGTGTGACATGCCATTTTCGTTGTTGGGTTTTGGAGACATTATTGTCCCAGGTGAGCTGGTTTTGGCAATTGTAACTTATGATTCAATATTTCATATTTGCTTCTCAACTGACTTGCTTTGGAGTTCATTCTACCAAACAATTACTAAATCAATTGTATTCTGCACTAACAGGTCTAACCGCTACAACAAAAGACACAATATGAGAAAGCTTAACATGTTATGGTACACTTAAATAGTCGCAGGATTTTTTTGCTTTTCTGTAGCACTCCATTATACCTAGAAGTGCCACAGATAAGTCCAGTTGTTAGTATTAATTAAATCTCCCAGAATACTTTCTTTCTGTGAGATTTCTAAGACTTCACAGTATTTTTATATCAAGGACTACGTATTTAGAGGTGGAAACATATTTGCTGCTTTTATCACAAGTTTTTCAGTCGTCGTCTTCAGGTCTGAATTTTGCTATGGACGGACTTGGAGTCTTGGGCAAATTACTTAAGTCAGGCACAAAGCAGCATCTCCTGAATAGAGTACTCTTCCCTATCCTGTGATTTGTAATGGGGCAAAATTGCAGATTGTTAAGAAAGGGTATTAAAATACCATTGAAGGGAAGTATTAAAACTGGGTTGCTAGTCCTCTGTATTAATGACTTCAAAATAGTAAGTAGCACGTTGTAATTAGCTTGCTTAAAAAAAGAAAACCCTTCAATACCAAGCTCACTAGAATATTTGCATTATGGTTTTGACTTTTGAGGCTTACCCTAGGTTTTCTTAAACTGGTTCTTGACTTTCCATAAGGTAGTAATTTCCAGATAAGAAACTGGAGGAACACACAATAGTGAGAAATCTTACTGTATATTCTCTTTATGCTGCTTTGATTTGGAGGCAGGGAAGAAATATTTGGGGAGGGTTAAATATTTCATTACTTTTTTCATTACCTTTTTTTTTTTCCCTCCTCTTCAAGGGCTTCTGGTTGCCTATTGTCGAAGATTTGATGTTCAAACAAGTTCTTCTTCTGTATATTACATTTCCTGTACAATAGGTAATTATGCGACACTTTAGCAATGTTAATCTTCATGCTAGCTTTTTTTTAATGGCAGAACTAGATAGCTTTCATCATATTGTCAGGAGTCTCTTCACAGTGTTTTTTTAATGTACCTGTCTCTATTTAGGGTGAGTGTTGTTTAATGGTAGTCAGTTGCTTTGAGAAAGCTTGTAAATATATAGCAACCTGTTGTCTTTTTTCCTTCAATTATATTGAAAGAGGTAGATATTATATTAAAACATTTTTTTTTGCTTGCTGCTCTAGTGACTCTTTAAAAATTCACCTGTTCTTGACTTTTTCTATGTAAATATCTCTTCTTATAGCTTATGCTGTTGGTATGGTACTGACTTTTGTTGTTTTGGCGCTAATGAAGATGGGACAACCTGCTCTGCTCTATCTTGTACCATGTACGCTCATTACTAGCTCACTTGTTGCTTGGAGACGTAAAGAGATGAAGAAGTTCTGGAAGGGCAGCAGTTATCAGGTAGGCTGGATGCCTTGTATATTTTTGGTTAATGCCTTTGTGTATATCCTTCTCTAAGTACTTAGTAATATATTACCTGCAGTCCAATTTTTGGTAGTCTTAATGGTGGTTATCTTCCAGAAAGAATAAGCAAAAGTAGACTTTACTCTTAGAAAATCTTAGCCTAGTAGCTAACATGACAGAACAAAGCTTAAGGGACGCAGAATAGCTGGTTCAGTATTATCTTGAGAGAGAAAACAAACGGACAAAAACAAAAAAAACCCCTAAAACAGAACCCTCAAAAAACACAGGCCAAGTGACGTTTTTCCATGTTTTTTCATCTTTTTAGTCTTCATCTGCCATCTCGATGGGGTGTAACTCAGGTCATTGAGTTGAGTATGCAGATTCCAGTCTGCAGTAGTTCTGTGTTAAGGTCCAGTTTTAAAAAGTTAGTGATCAACTACAATTTTACAAACCATTTTCTGTGCATCACTGATGTCTTACATTGTCAGGGTTGTATGGAGGACTCGGGAGCAGAATAACTGAGTGGTTACATAACTCTGTTCTGTCACAGTGTGTTCGTACACGCTGTGTTTTAGGCACTCTGTTTCCCCTTTGGTTACCTCTGACACTACCCAGGAATTGTAGTACTTTGCATGCCACCAGCATCTGCCTCTGCCTGTTGACATGTGCGCGTTTACCCTGAACTTGCCCTAGCTGTGGTAACTGCGTGTTCCAGTTGCCCATGTGAGTTGGCATCTGTCATAAGACAGACCAGCCCTGAGATTACTCTCTCTTACAGACCTCAAGATCGCTATTGTTAGACTTCAGAAAATGCTTTAGTGTTTTGCGTCCAGGCTGTGTTGAACTCAGCTCCGAGAATGGATATAGAGTTTTGGGTGGGGGAGCAGTGGGGTTTGAGGTTAAGCTGATGGGGGAAAGGTATAGCTTTTGCCTATCCAAACTCTAGATTGCAAAGGTTAAGTGAAACAATGGAAGCTGAGTTTTGTTAATTCCTGCATAAGTAAAACCACAGTCATACAGATCCTATAGTGTTACCAGCTAAACGCTGCCGTTTGGAGAGCTGGCTAATATTCCACACCTGCTTCAGCTGAAGGCTAAGTTTGCAAGTACTCAGGAGAAGATCTTTGGCTTTAACTAAACTCCCTACCTCTTTGTCTATGAAAGAAAAAGTTTCTAAAGTAAGGACGTTACAGTATAGGGAAGAGCTGAGAATGAGCTAAAGAAGAGTAGCTGTCTCCTTTCATAGATCCAGTGGATAGAAATGTTTCTCTGTAGGTCAGAATGACTGTGGATTACCATGCACTTGTGTGTACATTGGAGACTACTTGCTATTCTAAAACGCACAGCGCTGCACATACAAATCCCAATAACTCAGAGTCTGTTGGGGAAAGAGAGTTCTTAAATCACCCTTGAGTTCTGAGTAAAATTGACCTAAATAAATCTGGCAGGCTTTTTAGCAAACCAAACTTCCTTGTGCTTCTCATAGCAAAACTCATACTTGGAAGCATTATGTTGCCATAGTAGTTATTTCAGGTTCTTTCAACTGGTTTCTTGAAGGATTAAAACGGCTCTGAACTGCAGTTTGTTTTGAGGTCAGATGACTTCATATCTGGCACACTTTAAAATTTTGCTTTCTTCCCCTCCCTGTGCCGTTAGATTTGTCTGTGATTGAACACCTCATGTAACTTTATTAAAACTCCCATTTTTCTGTAAGTGTACCTAGAAAAACTTCTACAGTCAGTTTTTCCCAGAGGATGTTATTCAGGTTGCACTCACTTACTCATTTACGGAATGCTATAGTGCTGCCATGTTGATCTTTCTCACGTGTTGTCCTTCCAGCGTAATCTATATTTTGTTACTGAACTATGAAGAGAGGGGGGAAAAGAAAAGTTCGAGTCTTCGGTTTGGACAAAGAAAAAATGTAGAAAGGCAATAGATGACCGTCTTTTGCTACCCTGAGCCTGATGAAAAAATGCTAGCTTGGACTGGACTAGAGCTGTTCCATTGGCTGAACAGATTTTAAGGGGTGAACAGGCTTTTGCAGAGATTTCCTTTGTCCTCTAGGGACAGAGAAACCTTGCAGGTTGGTTAGGGTAGAGGTCCTAAGTGCAGGGGTACAAGAGCCTAGTTTGACATGGGCAGCGTTTCAGATAACTGTACTTCATAAATACTGCTATTTGTTTGTAACTCATCAGTTAGCTTTTTTGAGTTGGGGCTTTTTCTGATTTTGTTGCATATGACTTTAATAATGGAATGAATTCTATTTAGGTATTGGACTCCTCCAGGACGCCTTTGCTACAAGGTGTGATTATGGCCTTTTTTAAATGCAATTTTATTAACCATCTTATGGTATCTCTTTTTGCTATTTTTCCCCTCTGCTTCCTCTTTTCTTTCTTTTTTGCATCTGGTTTTCTTTTAAATTTTTATGAATAATCCATTAGAAGAGGGCAAATGACAATTTCTGAATACCATTTCTATAAAATTTTGGACTTGAACAGAATTCAAGTAATTTGGCATTTGAAAAATTAAATACCCTTATAGCATTGGCATGAAGTTAGCTGGGAAAATATTTTCTTATGTAAGAATAATTTTGTATGAATTTCTGCAGCAGCTTGGCTGCCTCTTTATCATAATGAACTGTCTGATGCTGCCATTGCCTTGCTTTGTTACAGTAATGAAAGATGTTTTTCTTCTCTTACTGTTCTTATGCCTAACCGCTCTCATTTTTCAACCAAAATTAAAGTGTGTTTTAGTTTCTGACCAAAACGCAGAAAAGTGTGTTTGAAACTAAAACTTTAAGTGAAGACAAGCTGCAGAAGTAAATCTGCTGTTTCGCACTTATTTTTTTTTTATAATTAATTTAAAGGAACACAGGAAAACTTAATATAAAAGACCAGCGGAGCCATGATCCCTAGGACTGAAGGGAGACCTTGTATGCCTCGCTACTCTGTAACTTCCCAATCCCTTGGAGTACCCTCCAATGCCTAAGTTTGGTGTTAGTTACTCTCCTGTTATCTATGTGGAAATACTTATATTGCCAGTGAACTAGTCCCTCGCCTAATTTTTCTGTGCCACTGCATTGTAATGAAAACCTGCTTAGTGCTACGCAATAATTCTGTTGTCCTCTGCCTGTGTTCAGCATTACAATTGTCTTTAGTAACCATACCTACGATCTCCCTATGATCGTGTTTCTCAGCAGTATAATGCTTGCGGTGGGGTAGGGAGCAAGGGTTCGGACCAGCTTCTGCGGTCTTGCTGCACGATTTCTACTTTGTGGCAAGAAGCTGGTTTCTTTCTTAGGCTGTAGCTCATGACTGTTAACGCTGATAGTGTTTACCTCAACTGTCTGAGTTAAGCACAAATGGGGGAAAGCAATGCAAGCTTTCCAGATAAACTTCTTGCAGAATTTAAGCATCTAAACATATTCTTGTGTTGAATTAGAGTCAGCAGTCTAGAGTTATTGAGACATCTATTTATAAAGCGTAATCTGTCTGCCCTACGCACTGAATGAATTTTCAGAGAGTGAACTCTGAGTGAATGTCTTAAATTCTGAATTAAAGATGTATATTTTTTCATTAGCTCTTTTACCTAATAGAGTACTTCAGCAATTTGAGCCTGATAAAAAGCCTTAATAATAAAGAAAGTAGATACAAACCCAGGAGTAGGTTAGGAAGTGGAAAAGGTTGAGTGCAAATTAAAATCAGATGGTGCGCCTGTATTTTTACAACTTAAAATTCTTCTCTCCTGCTGTCTGCACTTGAATTCTTGGATGGGGCTGTTAGCACCCGTTTTTCAATTACTACTTTGTACAAATGGGAATTGCTTGACTCTCTAAGATAGCGCTGAGGTCCCATAGTTCTTAGCTGAGAGTATTTCTCTTTCTGCATAATGATGCAATCACAGCTTCTAGATATGCTGTGTGTGGCTTGCTATGGATAAGTCCTGATTTATATTGAATCACTGCACAGGAAAGCGTTTTAACAATTCATTGAAACATAGGTCTGTCTTGGTAGGGAAGCAGGTACGTTTTTTTCCCACCACGTGGACAGTATTGCAGCTGTGAAGTGTACAGGAAGGGAGGAAGTGATTTTGTATGTGTTGTTGGTGGGTTTTTTGTTTGTTTTAAGTTTCAGTTTTTTTCAATTCCTCAGCTTCATGCTACGCGATGGACTAATTTGTTTGATGTTCGTTTCCCAATTATTGACTTAAGAAAACAGATACTATTTTTAGTTTGTATCAGTGCAATCTATTGAGTCTTTTTAGTAATGACATGAAAAATATACTGGAGTAATTCTTCAAAGTCTTCTAGGTGTGAGAATTGTCTTGCAACTTTTTTGAATGTGTTAAACTTGAAGTGTTTAGCAAACTTTCTTAGCTCTCCCTGAAACAAAAAATAAACAGGCTTGTTATTGACACGTTACACAGTAGGCACCTGCCGTTTAGTCCTGTAAATTTAAATCCTAATTCTGAGATACTTGCAAATTAGTCATAGCTATGGGTTTAAGAATTATGTGACTGTCACATCATCATATTGAATCTCACATTCATGTCTATGTATAGATGTTACATACTCTCTTACGGGTAGCTGTTGGGGTAGTACTTTTAGTTTGGTTTTGTTGTGTGCCTTTTTTTCTTTCTTTTTTTTAATGGTTAATCATGCTATGAGATAATTTTGTAACTAAAATAACTTGATGTTTTATCTATCTTGACCTTCTGCCCTTAAATTGTCAGAAATCCAGGTGCGGGAGAAAAGCTGATGACTCTCTTCCACCTTAAAAATGTTAGTCAGCTCTCTGCAATATAATGTTTGATGCCTTTGGCTCTTCTGAGACTTGAAACAACAGTTTCATGCAGAATTTTAGCACTGTCCCTTCCTCTTGCTGCTGGCTGCTGTAAAGGTTCTCCCTTCTTCTGCTGAGGGCTCTGAGATTGCGTAGTCCTGAGAGAACCAACAACTGAGATGCGCCTATGGAAAAAGCTACTCAGTATAATCTTATGCATTTAGAAAGGCATCTGTTGTTCCTGTCTTCAAGTTAGTTGTGGGCTCTCCTTGTTTTTTTTATGTTGGAGAGATTAGAAATAATTTTTTTTGGCCTTGTAGTACTTTTGTATATCAAAAAAACCCACAAATGCCTTTATGTTCTACTAGCCATTTTGGTCCTGAAGTTAACTTAGACATCTCATACGTTAAGCAAATACTTTAAAGTTTAAATACAGGTGATATCTGCAGCATAAGCACGTTTTCTGCTGCTTAGCTTGTTTTTGGATTAAGAGAAGACTCTTTGGCTGTGGGATGCACTGAAATTGTTGCCAACAGTGACAATTCTTGTCAATTGAATAGGGAATTGTTTTACAAAAATACTTACTGATAGCAGCTTCTTTATGCCAGCTATTGGATGATCCTCTCTCTAGGATATGGCATTAGTTTATGTAACATGGTATAAGTTTGACTTTCTTCTGGAAACATACTTGAATCTTCATTCAAAATGACAGTTTGGATTCCTCTAATTGTAGGGAGTGTTCTGCTTTGGGTGAGTTGATGTGGATTTTAGTCACAGTGCAGGGGCAAGCTTCGAGATACAGTGAAGTGAACGCCGATTGTCGTTAGCATGAGAGCTAGGTATTCACCGCTAGACTGAGCGTGCGCTATTGCTATAATTCAATTAGCTGTATCAGCAAGACTAATGCCTGCTGTAATTGTTGTTGGGATATAACAACTTCAGGTTTCATCTTTTGTTTAAGTCTGACAAATGGAGGGAGGAGTGTGAAAGACCTTTTCTGGTTTTGGTCATAGTTTCATATCGTGGCCAGTGGGCTCTCGTGACGTTACTCAGGTCCCAGTGACTTGTTTCTGCCTTGGAACTGTCATCTCCCCTTACCGCAGGCATGCTGGTACGTCTGCACTGGCAAACAGCTTTGTTCAACAAACCTCCGTTTACTAAGGTGTATACTTTGTGATGCACCAGTTGTGTTGGTATAAAAGAGAGTTTGGCCCAGAGGTGGGAACGTGGCTGGAGAAGGGCAAGGATGTTAATGGAATTACACTTTTGGCCCTATATATAGATTTATACTAGGTTTAAATGTACACCACACAACAGTGTTGGAGCCTGGCTCTATCTTGCCAAGGCTTCTCCAGCAGCTGCTAGTAAGGCAAGAGGGTGATCCTTATCGCTTGGAAAGCTACCCTTCTCATAACCCATGCTTTCAGTAGCTCTTTTAAAAACAGGCAGCCTTTTTACTACTAGGCAGGATACATCAATATGGGGAAAGAAAAGTATGTAGGGTTTTCTGCCTAGTATAGAAAACAAGGATTATTTTGATTCTGGAAGTATTTTGCCTTTGTTCTAACGTATCTGTGACTTCATCTTGCCACACTGGGCACATGAACTCTTTAACATGCTCTATTTTCAGCATTAATTTTACTATTTTCCTATTTACTACTTTCCTATTTTCTATCTCTGGTTGTCAGGAGTTGAAACTAGTGCCCAGTCCTTGGCCTCTTGTTTCCGAGGTTAACTACAAAGCCCTCAAGTTAATGGGTCTCAGTTTGTCATGCTAACAAATGTGTGTAGTGTAGCTTACTCAGTGCCTGTCCCAGGCATGAAACCAGAGCCTTCCTTGCACTCTAACAGCACAACAATGGATAGGGAAAACAGGCTGCTTTTTAACCAGGAAAAATAGAAAAATGTCTTGTGTTACTCCATTGACTTCTAACCGGTTACTTTAATCTGAAACTATAACCGGTCTATATAATAATTCGGTTTAGATTGTGTTCTGCGGCAGGTCTTTACAAATCCATTTCCTTTTTTAGTTTTTTTTTAAGATAAAAGGAAATTTTACAAAGAAATGTAGCCAATACAGTTAGATTTTTTTTCTAACTGTAATATAGTTTGCTTTTGCTAACTGACATGAAAAGAAAAGCTAGTGTTTTCTGTTCAGGCTGTCTGCTAACTGTAAATATTAAGCAGGATCCTGGGGTCTATTTCCAGTTCTCCTAACTGTCTCTTTGAAAAATTTCCTTAAACTCAATTTCCAATTGTTGATTTTTTTTTTTTTCCCTCTGTGTTTAATTGTTGGAACACTTCTGTCTCATGTGTTTAATTTATTGCAGAAGACTTGGATCCTTGGATGGAAAATGCTTTTGTAGTGGAAAGCATTAACGAAGAGTGTTTTGATTATTTGGCTTGAATGCTTTTCTCATCTGTAGAGGACTTCCTATCTAAATGCTGCTAAAATACACTATAACACTTGTTTAATTAAATTTCTCTTAGCTAACAAATACTTTGGACCAATGAGGAAAAAATAGTATTTCTATTTAAAGAGTCATCTTTGTTTTACATTTAGATGATGGAACATCTGGATTATGCAGGAAATGAAGAAGGCACGGCACCAGTCAGTGAACAGCCTGAAGGACAATAACATGTAGGATCCTGGTCTAAAACAGTGTTCAAATTTTCTACAAATGAATTACAGTAAATTTGGTTAATTTTTACAATAGATTATTTCACATTCTGTGTAAAAGTTTGGGATTTTTTTTTTACTTCTGCACCTATATTCTTATGGAAAGATATTGTTAATGACATAATTAATAGATTTGCATTTTTACAGCCAAACCATAGCTAGTAAAACCGTGCCTTATTTCAATTTAAATAAAAGGATATTTTCTATGCAATTTTCCAAACGTGTTTCTATACAGTATATTTTTATACAAGTTTCTTGCCCATATCACCTTGAAATGTGAAACGTTTTCTTAATTTTGATTAAGATTGGTCAAGTTTCACTTCTAGAAATTAGCAGTACCCTTCATGGGACTTCTTTACAGATTTTGAATGCAAAGACTGAAAGCAATGAAACTACAGGAACTAAAGAATTAAACTATAGTTCCATTGCAACTAGTAATGGAATAGACAGTGTGTATGTTAATCTATGTACGTTGTAAGCCATAAAATAGGTAACAGGGCAACTTCTTTAACTTGTGGTGGTGGTCTTTTTTTTTTTTTTTTTTTGATTGTATACATTGCCAACCACTTTTTTAAAAAAATTTGCTTATTTACACAGTGGCCCTAGAAATTTAAATGCAGTTCCTGGGATAGTTAGCAAGCAAGATGGTGTTAAAGGCAAGAAGGTTTTTGCTCAGCAAGTGTGATTTAATTATTTTGGGAGAAAAGCCCTAAAATTTTAACTCTGGCCTGGCTCTTCTCCTACCCATTGAGACTTAGTCTATATTTGTGGTCTTCGTTTAGCTGTGGATCAGTTCAAAGGGGTGATGAGGGGGGAAAAAAAAAAAGGACAGATTTTTCTAGCTTTGCATCTACACCAGTTCTACATTTTGGAAACAGTTTTGAAAATTCTTTGCAGTTGATAGACAAACAACAGATCTGAATAGTGCTAGTCTTGCTGTGTTAGTTAAGGCCAATGCATGTGTTTAACTTGTGGTTTAATCCTAATTTGTCTTAGATTTTAAATACTCTAAAGAATTTGAAAAGGAAAATTAGTTTAAATCATTAGTTTTCATTTAGAAGAGTTTTTGAGTTTGAGACTTCTTTTCTTGGGGAAACTGCAAATTGAGGAGGATTAGGCATAGAAAATTTGTATAGCTGTAACGCTAACACTTCACGCCAAAGAAGACTGGAGAAGGTAACAACAGGAAACCACCGAGTTCACCTATTGCTAATGTCAGGTAGTCATTAAAACATTCTTCCTATTCTTTAAATGAATGTCATTCCTGTAGTCAGTACAGGTTCGAGAACCTTGGAGAAAACAACTGAATAAGCACATGCTGGGCAACGGCAATGCAGGCTTTCCTGCACTGCTTCACATAAGTGCCTAAGTGTTGGTCTGAAGGTCACCTCTAGACGTTAATAGATGTTTTGGGGCATGTTTGCTCAGGGAAACTTACCCAGATTAAATCTAGTTTAGCTAGATTTACATTGGAAGTATGCTAATTAAGGCAAATTCATATTGGCAGTTACAAAGGCTTACTGCAAATCTACTGTTTTACTTAATTTAGATCAAGTTTAAACTTTTCTTAAGAGTCCTGATGTAGACAAGCTTAAAGCCTGAATGTCAGTTGAAGCCATTCACAGATTTACCACGGTGCTGGCTGATATGGGTAAGATAACTGTCTTTATTGCAACATCCCTAAGACAACAAAAACGACAGTTTTCAGACGTTAGTAGTTGCCCCTCACTACTGATCTAAGCTTGAACTGACAGCCTCAAAATGGAATGATTTTTGCACCCCATCTTAAATTGTTATTTCTTTGAAGCAGCTGGACTGACTGGCACTTAATAACAAATTACAGCATACCTCAGCGTTGTGATAGCAGACTGCAGACTTCTGTTGTGATGTGTTGTCGTGCTCTCTGGCAAGCCCGGTCTCTGCCAAAGTAAGCTTCTGAAAGTTCTTGAAAGAGGTAAAGAAGTCATAACTCACTCAATGTCCTGGAGTACTCAAAGCCCTTAGAAGCTTTATAAACCCATGTAATATGACTTCTTTTTCTCTCTGAAATCTTCTGTGTAAGAGGATTCATTAAATGTTCAGCTATAATTGATAATAGAGCTGATATATAAATTAAGACGACCTTTGGCAACATACATAAGTGTATTCAGCAGCTGGCTGTGGAAATGGTTTTGCTCTGTGCCTGTTTATGCTCTATGCCTGATCATGCCTGAGGTTTCACACACATGTGCTGCAGTTTGATGGGATGTAAACTAACTCTTTTTTTTCTTTTGAATGCTTAGGTGCTTTGTTTACAAAAATGAAGAATGGAGTTTAAAATTTTGTATAAATAATAGGTTAGTATTGACTACTGAAATGTTTTTTTATAAGTTCAGAAGAACTGACTGCAACATTCTTAGCAATTTTGAATGTTTTAATACTAAATTTGATTGGGCTAAACGCTATGTTAAAAACCTTTTTAGCAATACTTAATATAAAAATCTTACTACTTTTCATTGTATGTTTACTGACAAAACCCCTGTCCTCACAACTTTTAAGTTATCACTTTAAGAATGTTATTAATAAATGTGACTTCTTAAAAAAAAAAAAAAATTGAGAAATTGCTTTGTACTGTTACTATTTGTCTTTTTTTATTATGAATGAAATGTTTAAGGCAAAACAGTAACACCTCATAAAACTAAATGAGCTAAAACTTCATGAGATATACACATAAACAATGTGTTCTTGTGGTTTTCATCCATCCTGCCTTAAGTATCAAAGTACAATTCCAATATAGAAAGTTACAGTTCTGTAAAGATCTGTAGTGTTGTGTGTGTGTGGCAGAACTGTTTATGAATTGAGCTACATCAATTTTATTGATCCAACTCAGCAAATACTTATTGTATTGCTGTTAGTCATGTAGCTCTGTGAAACCTGACAAACAGAGAGTTTGAGATTCCTGTTTAACACACATGCAGACTTCTTACTGGTAACACGTGTATATGCATTCAGCTTAGGAAACTGCTGTAAAAGTACTGTTCAACTCAGTGCCCTTAGCCTTAGACATAAGGGGCAAGAAAAAGCCAAGCTTCAGTCTTGGAACCCAGGCTGGGTTGGAAGTGTTGTCCAGAAAAAAAAATCACTTAACCTGAGTACACTTGATACATGACCTTTGAGACATCCTTGCAACTCTATGATACTGTGTTCACATTCAGAGTTGAACAGGTTTTAAAATATTTTACTGTCTCCTGTCGATGCACTGGAAGCTCCAATAGCATTGAGTCACAGTAACTGAGTACGTAAATAGGAGAAAACTCTCCAAAAAGCTGCATCTCTTTCATCTGGGAGAGAACGGTTGTCTTGTGGTACTTTCATTTGGCGTTGGAAGCTGTCTTGCACAAGTTATGCAGGAAATCTTTCTTTCCACTCAACCAAGTTTGCAGGGTGGAGGAGAAGCATTAGCTGTTTTATTTGAGTCATGTTTAACAGCATTGAAACGATTAAATGACTTAACTGGGAATTTTAACTGGGTGTTAAGCAGATAGCAAACAAGCTTGAGTTTATTCATATGTGAATAATTTTGAAATAACTCCTAAGCACAGACATTGTGAGTTAAGAATAAGAGTTGAATGTTAAATTAGAATAGCTATTGCTGTTTAAATTCATATTAATTTTTTGTTCTAGAGTAACATGAATGTACTTGTACAGCTCTTGTGTTCTAAAAATTAGCAATGCTATGGAATACTGTAAAGGTCAAATGGAAAAACACCTTAGAGCACTAAGCGGCCTTGCTGTTGCTGAGTTCAAGTCTTTATACAACAGTTGAGACTGCACTTTATAGACTGTGTACGTGTTGGCTTCCTTTCTAATAGAGCTATGGAAAAAAGTCAAATGCGAAGCTGATTTGAAGTATGTTGAGGAATCCTTAAGTAGAATTTCACCTAGTTGTACATCAGCCAAACCACACTAGATCGGAGTAAGACAATTTTAGTTGTTTGGCTTTTTAGGAACTGAATTGGAGCGTGACTGGGTCTTGCTGCCTAGCCTTGGCAAAATATTCCAGAAATATTTTGCTTGCCAACAGAGTACATTAATTACATTTCTATGCTAGAACATACTTCTTTGTTGAAACTTATGTGGAAACGTATTGTCAAACACTACTGTATGATCTACCCAAATGTTTGACTTCATGCATAAGAACAAACTCAATATTCATATGTTTGCATTTTTTTCTGATTTACTTATTTAAAAAAAGTAGAGAAGTTTGGAAAAACAGACACATTTGCAATCAGCAGACTGGATTTTCAGTGTTTCTGATGCATGGTATTGTTATGGTTGGTGCATTTGACATTTCTGCAAAAGTGCAAATCTCAGAAGCTCTTCAAAACAGCAAGCGGAATGGAGAAATTTTCTTCTAAGGAAATGGGTTACAGTTATTCATTAATAGGTGCTCTCCTGTTTAGATCAGTTCAATCTTCCTCTTGCTCTTTGTTCTGTTCCAAGTGTAAGCCATACCTGACAAAGTGACGCTTTGCTTTGTGGGAGACTAAGTCAGGCCTCAAAACCAATGATGCTTGATAGCGTCAGCTTGTTCCCCAAATACAAATTACATCAAATACTTTCTACCACTTCCAATGCTTAGAAAAAAAATTCATTTTTTATAACAGCTCAACATCAATCCTTGCATGCTTGTCCAAAGATAAGCAACAAATTTATTGTGTGGATGTTATTGTTGCCTTCTTCATACAACTGCAGGAAGCCTCAGGTTCACAAGCCCTCGTGCTCATAGGGAACTTTAACCACCCTGGTATCTTCTGGAAGAGCAACGCAGCAGGACACAAGCAACCCATGAAGTTTCAGGAGTGCATTGATAATAGCAGCCTGACCCAGGTGATTAATGAGTTGACAAGGAGAGGCGTCTCTGCTGTACCTGATTCTTACAAGCAATGCAGAACTGGTTGGGGATGTGAAGACCAAGGGCAGCCTTGGCTGCAGTGACCATGTGGAGTTCAGGATCCTGAGAGAAGGGTACAAGGCAAAGAACAGGATTGCAACCCTGGACTTCAGGAGAGCAGACTTTGGCCTGTTCAGGGATCTGCTTGGAAGAATCCCTGGAATTCTACTGGTCCTGGAGAGAAGGGACTAGAAGATCTCTCTGATTTTCAAGCATCACCTCCTCCAAGCTCAAAAATGGTCCATCCCAATGTGCGGGAAATCAAGCAGAAATGCCAGGAGGCATGCATGAGTGAAAAAGGAGCTCTGGACAAAACTCAAACATAAAAAGGAAGCATGCAAGAATTGGAAGCAGGGACAGGTGATCCAGAGGGAACATAGAGACACTGAGCATGCAGGGATGGGGTTAGGAAAGCCAAAGTCCATCTGGAGTTGAATCTGGCAAGGGCTGTGAGTCTGGCAACAAGAAGGGCTTCTACAGGTGCATCAACAGCAAAGCGAAGGGTAGGGAAAATGTGGGCCTACCGCTGAATAGGGTGGGGGACCTGGTGACAAAGGACATGGAAATGGCTGAGCTACTCGATGTCGCCTTTGCCTTCAGGAATCTCAGGCCAGTGGGAAAGTCTGGGGCAAGGAAGATGTGCCCTTGGTGGAGGAGGATCAGGTTAGGGAACGTTTCAATGAACCGGACTTGCACAAGTCCGTGGGACCTGATGCGATGCATCCATGGGTGTTGAAGGAGCTGGCCGATGTCATTGCGAGGATGCTCTTGATTAGCTTTAAAATGCTATGGCAAGTGGCAGAGGTTTCTGAGGACTGAAAGAAAGAAAACGTCACTCCTAAATTCAAGAAGGGCGAGAAGGAGGATCTGGGGAACAACAGGCCACTTAGCCTCATCTTGATCCCTGGGAAGATGATGGAGCAAAAAGCCTTTTCCAAACATATGAAGGACAAGAGGGTGATTAGGAATA